ACACACACACACACTACCTCCCCAATTTGAACTGGCAATTTTTATTTCTTTTGTTTTTGTTTTTTATTTTACAATAACTTTAAAACTCCAACTTGAAACTATTTCCCAACTTGAATAGGTAGTTTTTTTTTAAATTAATATTTTTGTTTATTTATTGTAGCTAGTTTAATTTTTTTCTTATTTTTTCGTTTTTTATTTTAATATAACTATAAACTCCAACTTGAAACTACTCCCAGTTTGAATGGGTAGTTATTTTTTTATATTTTCGTTTTTTTAATATAGATAATTATAAGATATCGATATTTATTAACTCAAATAGAATAACCAATTAATTCAAAATTTAAAAAGTTTTTTAGTAAAAAATGTAGTTTATTTTGTCTTAACAATGCCACTTGGCTTTTTGTGGTTATGCCGCTTGTCTTAATAATGTATTTTTGCCTCTCCTTTTATTATATATATACTAGCCACAACAAACACCCTATCTCCACCAAGTTCTGCCACCCTGCATTTGGACCAAACCAATCACGAATAATATGTATTCCCATCTCAATTCTCATTGTATCACAAGTAGTGGAGCTAAGCTTTTCACTAAAGGGAGTCAAAAGTTGAAAAAATTAAATCCACAAAAAAGTTAAGGGATTCAATACATAGTATATATATATAAATGTTTTTACCTATCTAAACAGTATATATGTGGCTCCGCCGCTGTATATCACTTAATTATGATAAATTAATGTGATTTCATGCAAACAGAGGGTGTGGCAAAGATTTTTATGGACAATGAATGGGAATTTTCCAAGAAACAACTTTCAGCAAAATCAACGAAAATATTCTAGCTTTCCACTTTTTAAACTAATAAAACATATCCAGCAAAATTACAGAAAGGAGAAAATTCGTGAAGAAAGGTAGAAACTTTACATACCCCGGTTTTACCAGGGAGAGAACAATGCCACACCATAAAATTGATGGACCCATCTGGACCTATTTATGGCTTAGCAACAAAACCCTAAAAAATACCCATAAAGTTAAGAGACTCATCGAATTAACATACCCTTAGAACCCACTATTGTTTATCAATAAACCTAAAATTAGTAACACTAAAAAATTGAAAGGTCGAAAGTTTAAATAAAGAGTAGAAAGTATGTACATGTGGGTGATCCTTACGCCATTCTTTGAGTTCCGCACCAAGACGATCACGCGCGATTCCGCCTGACATGTTTGTTTGCCCACCCTTTTCCTCTCTCTCTCTCTCTGTCTCTCTCTATGTCTCTCTCTGTAGAAACGTTGAATGATGAAAATGGTGTTCGAGTGATGACAGGAGCTTTATGTCGTGGAGTATTTGTCTTTTTTTTTTTTTGAAAACCGTTGTTGCCATCATTATTTTTTCTTGGAAGGAACCAATGTGATTGACATTTCTGTATGTCTTGGAAGAGGAGAAGACTAGTTGTCTTGTCCAAGGAATTTTCCGCCTGCTTAAAACTTTAATAAAAAAAACTTTATAAATTCCCAAAACTTATTAATCATATATTAATATTTATATTAATTTTCCTCTTTAAATTGTTTCAAATACATACTAATCCCTCCGTCCCATGAAGGTGTTTGACTTGATCTGAACCTAACTGATTTTATCCTGAAATTTGACACTTGTTGAAATTTGGTTGTGATACTTGGCGTCATCGCATTGATTTGCTTCTCGTATTCTATATGGATAGACGTGAAGAAAGGAAGAAACTTTACATACCCCGATTTTACCAGGGATAGACAATGCCACACCATCAAATTGACAGACCCATGTGAACCTGTTTCTCGCTTAGCAACAAAACCCTAAGAAAGAAAAAAAAAAAAGACCCATAAAGTTCAGAGACATCAAATTAATAGACCCTTAGAACCCCATTACTGTTTATCAACAAACCTAAATTTAGTAACAATAAAAATTTAAAAGGTTCCGGAGCAAGACGACCACGCGCGATTCCGCCTAACATGTTTGTTTGCCCATCCTCCCCCCCCCCCCTCTCTCACTGTAGAAATATTGAATGATGAAAATGGTGTTAAAGTAGTGATAGGAGCTTTTATGTTATGGAGTATTTGCCATTTCTTTGAAAACTGTTGTTGCCATCATTATTTTTTCTCAGAAGGAACCAATGTGATTGACATTTCCGTGTGTCTTGAAAGAGGAGAAGACTAGTGGTCTTGTCCAAAGAATTCCCCGCCTGCTTAAAACATTAATAAATAAACTTTATAAATTTCAAAACTGATTAATCATATATTAATATCTATATTAATTTTCCTTTTTAAATTATTTCAAATACATATTAATCCTCCATCCCATGAAGGTGTTTGACTTGATCCGAACCTAACTAATTTTATCAGAAAATTTGACATTTGTTGAATTTTTATTGTGATACTTGTCATCACATTGATTTGCTCCTCCTATTCTATATAGATAGACGTGGAGTAAGGAAGAAACATTACGTACCCCGATTTTACCAGGGATAGAACAATGCCACACCATCAAATTAATAGACCCATCTGGTAACTCTTTTTGGTCTTAGTCAACAATACCTAAAAAGATAAAAAAGAACCC